AAGAAGATAAAAAATAAAATACATTGGTTTATATATAAAACTGAGTGTTTTTTTGTGAAAAAAGTAAAACTAACTAAGATTCACTCCTCTCCTAACCTAACTTTTTCTACCAAACCTAACCTAACCTAGCAACCCTAACTAACCTAACCCTAACCTAACCTAACCTAACCTAATCTAACCCCTAGCCCTACTTCCCAACCTACCCAAAAGAAACCTAACCTAACCTAAAGTGCCCTAACTTCTTTAACCTAACCTAATCTATAACCTAACCTAACTAACCTCTAACCTGAAAATCAGTGTTTTGAAAATAAGTAAAATACATTGGTTTTTATCTAAAACTAGGTATTTTTCGTGAAAAATAAAACTAACTAAAATTCACCTAACCTAACCTAACCTAACACTAACCCTAACCTAACCTTACTAACTTCTTCTAACAACCTAACATAACCTGCCTAACTTCTCCTTAGAAACTATTTCTTCTTAACCTAACCTAAGCTAACCTAACCTAACTTAACCTAGGTTAAGTTTGGTTTGGATTCAGTTAATTAGATTTAGTTAAAATTGATTGGAATTGGAGTTGGGTAGAAGATGAGTTAGATTGAGTTAAGTTGGATCGATAGGTGGGATTAGAATAGGATGGGTAATTTTAGTTAGTTTTACTTTCAGTCAGTTTTAGATAAAAACTAATGTGTTTTACTTATTTTTATCTTCTTTTCACGGAAAACTATTAATTTCTTTTCAAAACACTGATTTTTAGTGTTAGAGATTAGGTTAGGGTAGGTTAGGTTAGTTTAGGTTAGGCTAGGTTAGGTTAGGTTAGGTTAGCTTAGGTTAGGTTGGGTTGGGTTGGGGTAGGTTGGGTTGGGTTGGGTTAGTTTAGTTTAGGTTAGGTTAGGTTAGGTTAGGTTAGGTTAGGTTGGGTTAAGTTAGGTTAGGTTAGGTTAGGTTAGGTTAGGTTAAGTGAATTTTAGTTAGTTTTACTTCTTTTCACGACAAACTCTCACGGAAATTGTTGAATTTCCTTAAAAAAAACACTGTTTTTTCGTTAGTTGTACATATTTTCGAATACGTGCCGTGTTTTCTCTTGAAGAACTCTGTTTTGAAGTTAGTTTACTTCTTTTCACGGTTAGGTTAGGTTAGGTTAGACTGGGTTAGGTTAGGTTAGGTTAGGTTAGATAAATTTTAGTTAGTTTTACTTCTTTTCACGAAAAACACTCAGTTTTAGATGGAAACCAATGTATTTTACTTACTTTTATCTTCTTTTCACGGAAAACGCCTACTTTCTTTTCAAAACACTGATTTTCAGTGTTAGAGGTTAGGTTAGGTTAGGTTAGGTAGGATTAGGTTAGGTTTGGTTTGGTTAGGTTAGTTTAGGTTAGGTTAGGTTGGGTTGAGTTGGGTTGGGGTTGGATTAGGTTGGGTTAGTTTAGTTTAGGTTAGGTTAG